ACTTAACATAATATACTTTAGCAAATGCTGAAGTAGAGGGCTTGTGGCCTCTGTTTAGCTCAAGCCAGAGAGATAATAATCTTCATGAGTTCCCTGGCACTAAAAAAAAAGCTCAGCAGACTCAAGGAAGGCCCATGTGGCCAACAGCAGACATCACTGTGAACAAACAGTTTCTCTCCTCTCCTAAAGGCCCTTCACATTGTGTGGGCAGCACATGAGTGCTGCCAGGACGCGATGAACCTATCTGCACAGCCTGGGAACCCTCCTGAGGCCCCTCTGGGCTCCTGCCATTGTGTCAGTTTCAACAGTGAATCGGAACCATCCTGCCATCTAACCGGTGCCGGTAAATCCACCCAGGAACACTTGTTCCTCAGATAGCCAACTAATCCTGCAGACACTTCTAGAACACACAGCCTAACACGTGGGGGGCGTATGGCAGCAGTTCCCAAAGATGCCACTGTGCCCAGCCCCACAAGCCCTCAGCCCTCCCCCTGCACCCCTCCCCACCCACATCATACCCCCTACATACTTGGGCCCTATAGGCTTTGCCAGAAAAAGAGTTTGGGGGACAAAACGGATACTGCTGCTGGGGTAGACTAGAAAATCAAAGGGCAATTGACTGGCATTTTTCTGTCCCCGTGACATCTTCATTTTGTGCAGAAAGTGGAGTTTGGATGCCACTGGCAGCTGCTGATCCTCCTGCAGGAGGCTGGAAGCCCACGGTCGCTCCAAATGGCAAGTTCTGTTGTTCCCTCCTCTTACGTGGTGGCAGGCAGCCTGTCACCTGGAGCCTTGCCTGACTTTGTTCCCTTCCACAGAGACTCACCACGGCAAGCCTGTGTGCCGCTGCCACTCACAGCCACTCTGTTCAAACCACATCAAGGAGCTGGAAAAATGATACAAAGTGGATGGTAGAGGAAGAGGCAACTGCCTACCGGAGGTGATCGGAGCATGAAAAGCCCTCTTTCCTCCAGAACATTCCCCTCTGCCAGCTGTAAATGCCGAAAATATTAGAGGAAGAGTTTAATTCCTTCGGCTGAAAGCAGGTGGCACGTGGGAGGTGCGTGGCGCTTGCCCCTGCCTCCTCCTCTACGTTCGTGGCAGGCGTCACTACACAATCCGGAATCTTTCCTGCAGCTTTTCACCCCTTTCCAGCCACTGCCCTACTAAGCTTCCCATTTATTCTCATTAAATATACCTTCTTGTATTTGTGGGAAATCATCTAAAATAATACAGAAAAAAAAAAAGTAAAGGGGGAGATAAGTGAAGAACGGAAGCAAAAATGATAGACTGTTGATAAATGTCGAAGCCAATGGGTTTGTGTGAGTTCATTATACTTTTCTCTCTACTTTTGTGTATATTTAAAATTCCTATGATATACTAGAAATCTAAATTAAAATATATATACAGGCCAGGTGTGGTGGCTCACACCTGTAATCCCAGCACTTTAGAAGACCCAGGCAGGAGGATCACTTGAGCCCAGAAGTTCAAGACCAGTCTGGGCAACATGGCAAAACCCCATCTCTACCAAAAAACAAAAAAAAAAAAAAATTAAAAATTACCCCGGCATGGTGGTGCATGCCTGTAGTCCAAGCTACTCAGGAGGATGAAGTGGGAGGATGGCTTAAACCCAGGAGGCGGAAGTTGCAGTAAGCCGTGATCGCAACACTGCACTCCAGCCTGGGTGACAGAGACACTGTTAAAATATATATAGATACACACACACACACACACACACACACACACACGCACGCACGCACACACGTACACACAGTATATGCATATATATGCCAGTTTCCTTTCCTACCTGATATCACTTAAATATCAACTTAAATTTTAATGCGAATGAGTTTTTCCATTGCTTTTGAGAGCAAATTTTGATAGTAAAAGAATAGAATAGCTGAATTCTCCATGGGGCAGAAGGCCACCAGCTGGGAGGAAAACAGAGTCAGACATAATTGGGAGGCAAGGGTTCCCAAAAACCTGGAAGTGTGTTTACTTTACAAACTGTTAAGCCAATGCTATTCAAGAGCAATCAAACTGGATTAGGGAAGTTTGGTGGAGAAAGTAAACGGCCATTTGCTCTTCGCATTATTGGTTTCTGAAGTGTGAATTTTTGCTGTGGTCCACCTCCGTTTTTTGCATCAAGTGGCTTGAGTGTTAGAGGCCAAAGTTTTGATTTGAGGTATGAAATTTAAAAGTCTGTGAACCAGCCCCTGTTGTTTCAATGAACCCAGTTTTCAAGTTATTGACTCTATACTCTTCCCTGATCCCAAGGACACCAGTGAATCTGTTTCTAGCCTCCAGCAGATTTGGAAGAGTTTGTTTCTCACCCATAATTTACTGAATTATTTTTATTCACGCTTCTCAGATGAAGCCACCCTTCAAAATATTGTGACATGGGAGAAGTTGCCGAAGACCTGCTCTTTCCATTACATCCCCCTCTAAACATCGGCTCTTCCCCGTTCAAAAGTCAGTCAATAAAAACATAATTCTACTGTGGGAACCTAAAAGCATTCAGCAATCGGAGTCTGGTTAAATAAACTGAAGTTATACACACAATGAAATATCTAGGCAACCATCAAAGAGGATGAATTTGATCTACAGGGGTTGAGATGAAAAGATCTCCAAGATACACTAGTTAGTGTGGAGCAAAAGCTTGGCTGCCCTGTGGACCTGAAGGGACAAGATCATGGAGAGGAAGTGTTTACCATTAGTCACCATAGCTGAAGGCTCACAATCCTGCCCCTGAGCAGAAAGACAGAGCAAAATGGTTGAGCACAGTGGGATGGCAGAGTTTGAAAATGATCGTGTGCCTTGTTCCAGAAGAGTAAATCTGTTCCCCTCTGACTGAGACCTGAGACCTGGGAGCAGCTGAAAGGAACAAAGCCTATCATGATCTTTGCATATTTTTGCCTCTGCCTTTTGGAAATAGAAAGCAGTTACCTTAAGATTCAGACATAAATTGTTAAGTTTCTGAGCATCTGGCATTTTCTGTTTTCTTCTTTATATACCTGAGCACTGTATTTAATAAAGTTCTTTGAAAATGCCTGGAGAGCAAATTCATGCTGGAGAGAAAGAAGGAAAGGAGGTTTCACACCTCCTGGGTCTAAATTTCAAAGGTGAGGCTGTGTGCCCTCAGGTGGGTAAAGTAAAAGAAGTGAGACAATGCACCAAACAGAAGGTGAACCTCAAGGGTTCAAGCTCTTTGGGTTCACACTCACAGCTGGATATTTTGTTTTCATAATTCTTCTCTGCTGGAATTTTTGTGGTTAGTTTTGCAGGGTATGGTGGAGACTGCCACATTCTCCTCTTATGCTAATGTGGATTCTCTGATCTTTGGCTGGGTAAATAGCTGTGTGGAATAAAGACCCTATGTCCCAGACTCCCTGGCTACTAAGTGAGGTCAACTGACTAAGTCAAAAGACAAGTAAGAGGATATGGTAAGTGCAGTTGGAACATGTGATTTCTGGACAGAGCCCTTAAAGAGAGAGATCCTGACTCATTCCCCTCCCTTTTCCTACTCGCTAGAATGTCAGCATAATGGCTGGAGCCTGAGCAGCCCTTTTGGACCACAAGGCAAAAGCTTCATGTGGAAGATGGAGAGCAACAAGAGACGTGGAGTCTGGCTTCCTGATGACTGTAGAACTGGCATGCCAGCTCAGAACAACCTATATTTATGGGAGAAATAAACTTCGATTTAGTTCAGGCCACTGCAGTGCTGGATTTTTTGTCACTAATAGTCAAGCTTAAATGTGGCTAATAGAGAGAGAAAATTTTCTGAGGTCTTTTGCCTTAAAGAATCAAAGGGCTTTATCAGGGGTGTGTGTGTGTGTGTGCATGTGTGTGTGTCGGGGAATAAGGTTACCAGGGAGCACTTCAGAGAGGGGTCATGTACCTCCTCCACTTTCTGTAGAAAAGCCTCATTTTGGGGAGGTGTCCTCTGTTCCATTTCTCTCTTAGAGTCTCTTGTTTCGTTCCGAACAACTTCAACTGATTCCTCTAACAATCCAGGTGACTAAGTCTGGGTGGTCTAATTACAGTGACGACTGTTCCCTCTGAGTCTTTAGTTAAGAACCCCAGTTGTGATTCTAGACCTCTTATTTCTTTTTCCTGCAATAACCCACCTTCAATTCAGCTTCAGATAAATTTGAGTAAGTTTCATCAGAACTGGATCTTCCTTGCAGATCCACTATCTCCAGTAGACCCACTGCCAAGATGTACATTTTCATGAAAGCCCTAACAAGAAAGACTATTATGCTCAAGGTTGAACCCATGGATACAATAAAAAAAAGTGAAAGCCAGGATTCCTTCCAATCAACAGGGATTGATTTTGCTGTCAAGCAACTGGAAGATGGATGCACCAATGTCTGATTACAACATTAAAAAAAAGACACCTTCTGCTGTTGAGACATCATGATGCTAAGACTTCACCTTGTAACATTCCCAAGAAGGATAAGTGTAAGAGAAAGAAGGTGAGGCTATTTGCTCTGAAATACAATAAGGTTGATGAAGATTGGCAAAATGGGTCGCCTTTTCCAAGAGTGTCCTTCTAATGGTGTCTTCATGGGCCACCTTAACCCATGTATCTGTGCAAGTGCTGTCTAATCCGTGCTGCAACAAACCAGAAGATAAGAACGCGTGTGAGTGTGTGTGGGTGGGTGTGTGTGTGTGTGTGTGTGTGAATAGAAGTCTAGAACTACTTTAAGTATTGGATTTTATGCCAACATTTGAAACACAAAGATTTAGATTTTATTCTTGAAAAGGCAAAATTATGGTGATGGAGAACAGAATAGTGGTTTCCAGGGTCTGTGTACGTGGGGTGGGAGCATAAGGGAGTTTTTCTGAGCATCATGAAATAGCTCTGAATCCTGATTATGTTTCTGTGGTTCCACAAAGGTATAGATGTGTTAAAACTTATAGAACTAGATATCAAAACAAATTCAAGTTTACAGAACAATTTTTATTAAATTTTAAAAGGTCTTTCTGAGCAGTCAAAAAATAAACAGACCCACAGGCTTATTTATGATTAAAGTAATAAGAAATGTACAGCAACTTCTTCCAAGCACTGCCAGCATCTAGATATCAGTTGTCATACACTGAGGCCACTCTGTCACTTGGAGCTGCCTGCAAGGGTGAGCTCCCAGATCACAGGGGACCAAGCCCCTGGTGGAAGGACAGTGGGACAGTAACCAGTCACAAAAACTATTCCATCTTCTTACAAAGAAATATTCTCTGCACACAATGATTCACAGAAGACCTCCAACATCTGCAAAAATAAAGCCACCTGCGAAAGAGAAAAAAGAATATACTGTTTGTTCGACCTGACTAGTTAACCAGAAGAATTACCACCACACACACAAAAAGAAAAATCATGTACAATGTAAGTATAACAGTCTGTTCTCTATAATATCTTCTCCGAGTCTTCCAGTGGCTCACAGAAATCAGAACCAACTATGGAGCTGGTAAGAAAGTTGGCGCACAGGGAGGAGAGTCTCAAATGAGATGAAATTTCCCACGAGCACAGTACAATGGGAACACGGAGCCAAAATTAGCTTTACTTATGGGCAAGGACATAATTGGAGATTTCTTACCCATCTGAATTTGGGGACTGGAATTGGTGCCCCCATCCCAACCAAATTCATGCACGGTAACTCTTGATAGCCATGCAGTACCCCTCTCCTCCCCAACTTCCTGGCTCCAGGGGTGACTGGGATGTGTTCTGTGCCCCCACGCCACTTCCCCCTCAGCCCACTAGGATTTCAGCTACAGCTGTGAGAGCCAGTCTCCATGAATGGTGCAGGGGACCGCCTTTCTATTTCTTTCCCACAGAGATTTTTATCCAGAGTTCCAGGGTCTTAGAATGCAGGGCAGTCTGAAGGCAACCTCAACCAGCGGGTTCTGAAATCAGTGAATAAATGTACCCGCTTCTCCTCCAAAGCGAAGTGTCCAAGGGGACACTCCTGACAGATCCTCACCAGAACTGGGCACAGTTGCCCGCCATGGCAGCCAGCTCAAGACTGACTTTCCCTCCTTCCCTGCCTGGCTCATTCTGCTCCCTCACTCCCTGGCCTTGGATCACCCCCAAATAAACTCACTGCTCCTGAATCCTTGTTTCAGGCTCAGTTTTCAGGGAAACTCAAACTAAGACAAATGGCTAGATTATGGCTATCTACTCCATCTCACTCCTTCCATGAGGTCCTAGAGCCAGCTCCTGGAACATAATTGCACATTTCCATCAAACGCCATTGGCTGAAAAACTTCAATTCCTTAAAGTCAGTAAAGGACTGAGACATGGGCTGAGTCTAACGAGGAAGCTTTGCAGCTACCTCCCTATACCATTTCAGGAAGCTGCCCCTTTACAGCTCCAGATGCCTCTTGTCCCCAGCCCAGGCTCCCCTCGGCCCCCAGGCTGTAACCAGCAGATCCTGACCATTTCTGTCTTCTGCCCTCATTTGTGTAATGAGCCCCAGGAGGCTGGCACTCTGAGCATTTCAGTGCCCACTGGAGGGCTTGAAATTTCTTCACTAATTAGGCAGGTGAAAGGGCTGTGCCAAGGGGCCTTTGCTCCTGCATCTAACACCAGTGTTACGCCAGGTGGCATAGCTTTCCCCCTCCCTCCTCAGTCTGTTCAAGCCCATTGCCTCCCAGCCACAACTGCTCAGGTTAAGATGCATCAAGATGGAAAGTTGCCACTTGATTAAGATAAAAATAAAATAATCAAAATATGTACCACGTTCCTCCTTTGAACAGATGGCCGGGAAGCTTGCCTCATAACACTGAACATCAAAAATGAATCAGAGGCTCATCTTCCTGCATAATCAAGAATTTGCTCACTGTTTGTACTACAGCCAGGCAGGAGGCGGAGATTCTATCCACAAAGGTGAGAAACGACAGAGAAACCATGAGGTCCATCGTGAGGCTCTCCTAGTCTTTTTCTCAGCCACACTGGCCTGCATCAGACATTGTGTCACTGTGTGCAAGTGAAAGAGGAAAGAGGATGCAGAGTATAAAACAAATGAAAGATATGTCAATTCCCCCCTCAGGAGGGCCCAGAGCAACCCTTTATCAAACCATACTCACTGCCATTTTTTTCAAAGAAAGGGTATTTCAGACACTCATGTTTTTTATCTCATGGAGACATCCCAGTCTAGACAACTGTCACTTCACTCCAGTTACAATACTTGAGCACACTATATGATGATTTATTTGTTTACTTGTCTGAGCTCCCTTGAGCTCTTTGAAAACAAGGATCATTTCTTATGTGACTTGATATCATAGCGCCCAGCAGGGACCTAAATGAATGTTTGATGAATGAATGAATGAAAATAATCAGAATTGTTGAAAGAGCCTCTCAATTGGTCTAGCTTCCTCCATTCTCTTTGCTCTCTTCCACATGGCCACCGGTTTAAATCTGTCTAAAAGCTTCACTGAGATAAACCTATAGGTGCTGTGAAATCACATCCAAGATATACAGTGAGGTGTAAAAGTGAGATACAAAACAATAGACATGTCTAATTGATTTTAAAGGAGAGGAGGAATATGTACATATGTAGTTTAGCTATCCCTAAATGTTTCCAAGATATACAAGAAAAAGAAAAAAATGTTCTATTCTGGGAAAGGAGAGCTAGGCGCTGGGGATGGAAAAGAACATTGCTTTTTAATACATATCCCTCTGAATTTTTACCTTGCACATATATTTCTCCTTCCATTTAAAATGCCAATTAATAATTATTTTTTAAATTATGGTTAAAATTACTCTCATGTTCAAAAATATTCATCGACTGCCTATTTCCTTCAAGCCAATTAATCTCGTAAACCCTAATTTGACTTTCTGACTTTTCCCTGATAATACCTTGCACAGACCCTCTCAGTAGTAAACAAGTCTCTGTGTTGTGGGATCATTTATGTTGTATCAAAGCTGCACAAATACACCGGTTCTACCTCCATGCACATGGTAGGGTTATAGTATTTCCTTGCCCCCCTGAAGTTAAGGGCGGCCATGTATCACATCTTCATGGACTGGATGGACGTTGAAGCATCCTCTACTAGGCACTTTCCAAAACAGCTCCCAGTGACACTCGCTTCCCACCATGTTTCAATTTGTGTGGTCTCTTCCCCTGGAGAGTGAGCAAGGCCCAGCCAATCGCTTCTGGTGAATAGAATATGGCAAATGGAATGTTGCCTCCAAGATTAGGTAATAAAAAAACGTGGCTTCCATCTTGCTGGCATTCTCTCTCTCTCTCTCTCTCTCTCGCTCTCTCGCTCTTTTCACATGCTTGCCCTAATGGAGAAGGTCACCTGCCAACAACCATGTGAATGAACTTGGAAGTTGACCTGATCTTATTAAGTCGAGATGACTGTGCCTCAGCACTTTGATTGCTGTCTAATGAAAGACCCTGAGCCAGACCACTCAGCTAAAGCACATCTGGATTCCTAACCCACAGAAATGGTGACATTATAAGGGCACATTGTTTTAAGCCACCAAGTTTTATAGTACTGTGTTATGCAGTGGTAGACAACTAAGATAGAGCCATTGCACCATTCCCTTTTCCTTGCCATCGTGATCTTAAAGCACAGGTTGAGATGGACCTCGTCCCTGAGTGACTATGATGAGCAGAGCAGACCCCCACACAAGTAGATGAACAAGACATAACCCTGTGTCTATTAGGGTTGTTTGTTACTGCAGCATGACTTCATCTATTCTGACTAAAGCAGCATTTATGGGAAATCACTGTGAAATATGAAAGTATAATCCAAGTATAGACTATTACTATTAACATTGAACACTGTTCCTATGTCCGGACCTTTGGACCTCATTTTGTCTCTCTGGCTATTCACATCAACCATTCTTCAATTGGACCTCTCCCACAAACAACTCTCTAATTACCCTGCTCTGTAGCAGTCTGCCCCATCCTCTGAGTACTAACCACCCATCCCACTTTTTCTTTCCTATCACTTATTACAACTGTAACTAATTACATGTGCATCCATTCCATTTATTCAGTGTCTGTCACCTCTATTCGAATATAAACTCCAAGAGGACAGGGATCCTATGGGTTTTACTCATCATTATATTCCCAGCATCTGCCACAGTACCTAATACAAACACCTAAATAATGAATGAATGAATGAATGAATGAATTCACACAATCTTATTCTCCTTTGTACACTCATTTTGACACAATTATAGAATATTTTCTTGGTTATTTTCGTATCTCACATGTTTGTTATGGCTTGCACCTCCCAAGTAAATTCTGAGTCCCTCGAGGCATAAGTTGCATTCTTCAATTGCCCGGACACTTCACAATCATGGCAGTGCCTTAAACATCATACCGTACCTACTGCAGTGCCTTGCTCATGGCCGGAGCACAATTACTGCTAAATTCATATTATTCTGTGTGCTCAACAAATTATTGTTAAACAAATTAATATAAATAAGCATATATCAATGTACTGGTGTGAATACAATTCTCAAGGAAATAGTACAGCAAATGAGTGAGGAGTGTGAGATGAGGGCAGATGAGAAAGGTTTTCTGCAGGAAGAGAGCTGGGGTATGCATTTATATGGAGGCAGAGAAACAACCATGCATTTAGCTGGTCACCATGTCAGGCACCAGACTAAATGCGATCCATGTATTATTTTGCTTAATTTTCAAATTAGCCGTATGTGATAGGCCCTATCCCCTCTACTTTACAAATATGGAAACTGGAACACAGAGAGGTTAAGTGACTTGCCCTGGGTCACACAGCTAACCCATGGCGGAAGCAGCCACAAACTCAGATCTGCCTCTCTCCAAAGCCCGTCTCTACCATGCCAGAACCTACATTTGGATGTAAGCCTGGTTCTGTCATTTATTGGCTGCATGGCCTTGGGCAACATACTTAACCTCTCTTGACTCAGTTTCCTTAATTTAGTTAAGATTAATCATTGTACCCATCTCATGGGATTGTTGTATTAAGTAAGATAAATTATGTAAAGTGCTTAGGCCATGGGCCATGGTAGGTACTCCACAAATGTCACCCATTGTTGTAACTATTCAAAGACAAATTCGAGAGAAAAACATTCCCCTCCCAAAAAGAATTTTTATAAATGCCCCCTTTCATTCACATCTACTTTTGTTTTATATTTCTACACCCTAAGCTTTAGGACTGCAAGAAGAAGGATGTTTTGGGGACAGAAAAGGCCACGTGGGGAAGCCAGAGACAGATCTTATCTCCCCTGTCCCTACCAGCTTCTTCTGCCCACTGCACATTGCCCTGTGCAGCTATGGGGATCCCATAGCA